GGGGGGGGGGGGGGGGGGGGGGGGGGGTCCATTGATGACGTTCCCCGAAATCCATTGGGATTCCCCATAGGATTGCTGAAAAAAAAAAAGCTGGGGAAATGACCACCGACGGGGAAAACCCTCCGCGCACCGACCGTGAAAAAACCAAGGACACCGCCAGGATAAGATAGATGGAGAGCGCGGGAGCAAAGCTGGGTAGAAAAGCCGCCTCCTCCCGTCCCTCCACTTCATTGCCTCATCGGGTTCATCTCTGTGATCTGCAATCGACGCGACATCCATCAAAGCGCCGTTTCGCCCTAAAAGAAGGCTTTGTCGTCTCGTCGCAATCATGCCCAACTCACATCTTGTCATCTGTGAGTTGGAATTTTCACATTTTCGGTTGCACGCGTCAAATCGGTTTTCATTCATTCTTTCTCAATTTCTTGATAATTTTTATGCATGGGTATTGCTTATCTTTAAATCTTACCAAATGTTCTCATCTCAAGATATTTTAAAGCTTGATGCACTTTTGGCAACGCAAGTCTCGAAGCCTCGTGCGAGTGTTTGTGTGGGGCGTGGGCCAGCTTATGGCAACGACAGCAGGCTCTATGTGCCACTAACCCTTTTGCATGGCCACTTTATGAGATTCACGGTTCTGAAAATCCATTCCCGGTTTATTCAAGTTTCGCGCAAGAAAAACAAAAAAATTACTGAGTATACCACGGAGAATTCTCAAAACTTCAAAAAAAAAGTGAAAAACCGAAATATTTTCAAGATCCTTGAAATATATTTTTCGATCCGAAGGAAGCTGGAATGTATGATGCGCGAATCGATCACAAGGAAGAACGAGAGGCCGTATTCAGAAGTAATTAAATATATATTTCAGGCCTTAGACATATTGCCTCATGTTACATCAAACTTCTGCTCCCTGCAGATGAATCAGCTGATGGAATTCGGCAATCTAATCGTGCAATTGGATGGTAATCGGCGTTGCCCTCTTCATCTCCGGCTGTTAATATTCTCGAGGATCCTTACAGTATCGAAAATCCTACTTTGAGCTTCCACGATTTCGTTTCCCTCAGCCGGCAACCTAGAGTCGCCGAGGAGACAATTTCGAAACAGCATCACCACAAGGAACCGGCGGAAGCCCGAAAATTTCCTACAAACGAGCCAGGTGCAGCGTCAGAGCAGAAATGGAAGCGATGCGGATACAACCACAGCCTGTCTGAAACAGAGCCTGTCCGAAACAAGCCTTCCATAACTTCGGAGTTGTATCGAGTTCGAAGGCTGCAGCAGAGAGAATTCTGCGCTTCGCTTTTGAAAACAGGACGTTCGTATCAATAATATTAAAATAACATCTGATATTCCCAAGGATTTCCATTAAAACCCAAGTCGTATTTTATTCCACAAAATCGAAAACGCGTGACTTGTCATGGATTGTTTCTCCTCCGAGAACCGACTTTGCACACAATGGAATCGATCGTCTGCACCAAGGTTATCAGCACGACGTTGTGGGCAACAAGCCGACCAAACTCGGCAAAGAGACCAACAAATGGATTGGGGAGCGCTTAGTAGGATTTTAATTTCATGAACACCATTGGAGACTTATTTTCCATAAGGTTCCTGCCACTTTGGCTGACCGCCTGGAGAATTCACTCGAATATATGCGAACTTTCCATCTTTGCATGTGTTGTCTAAGTGGGAATAAAACTTCGACATTTTCCTTTTGTGCTGCAGCTCATAATATGCGAGGACTCGGAGGGAGGAATAGCGCGTATGATATTCTGGCACGAGGGAAGAAAATGCAAACATTTTCTCGATCATCCGCTGCGCCCAATGTGCAAAATCATATCAGACACAACAGGGTTTCGATGTTGCAAGAATGTGACATGGACCACTGAGAGAAATATGGATTTCTCTCAGTGGTCCATATCCAGAGACCTTTTCAAGGGAAAGATCCCTGGAAATGGATTTTCAAGCTGAGGGACAAGAAACATAACGGTTCAACCAAGATATTTCTTAAAGCATGACATCCCCCTTCATCCACACCCCCCTTCATCCACACCCCCCGTCATCCACATCCCCCGTCATCCACATCCCCCGTCATCCACATCCCCCGTCATCCACATCCCCCGTCATCCATTTTCTACCTCATCCTCACCCTAAGTCAGAGAGCGAGAAACCCGCTCGCTCTGGCTGCAAGAATGGAAGGCTTCCTCCGTTTTGAAAATGACGAACCTTAATAGAGATTCCATCGGGAGCAATGAATATATATTATTATTTAAGCCCTTCCGACGTTCCACTTTCAAGCTTGGATGTGAGGATTACTGAATTTGTGCAGGAAAAAAAGTCAACTGGGCTCAAACAGGAAAATTAATTCCTGCAAATTTTCAGAAAAGAGCAAGGGGTAAGCTTAAACCCATTTCTTGCCATCGAAACTATTAAGAATTATTTAAAATTTATTTTAATTAATTAATTAAAATCGTAAAGATTTACCAAACGTACTAAAACTCTTGCTTGATCCAGTACTGCGTCCGGTAACCCAGGTTTTCTTTCCGGTTTACAGGCAGTAACTTGATTCGTTAAATAATTTAAATCAATGTGAAGGAAAGTAGGGCAATTTCAACATGCGGCATAGGAATATTTTCAAGTACGCAGAACCGCAGCTGAACCCCGAAACATTACATATCAACGTCATATGACGTCATCACCAATATGATTTTTTATTTATTAAGAGGAACACAACAAACCGTGCTTTAAAAGAAAAACTACGGACAGGTGGGATCGCAGAACGCCGCAGTCACTCGATCGATGGCGAAGGTTCTCCACACTTTCTCCACACTTTCTTTCGCACTTTCCTTGGCGTTTTTCGGCTTTCGTAAACGTCCGCATTTCTACCGCGGGGTTCGCAGCGAGCCTTTTCTGTGCACATTTTTTCGTCGATTAGAGACCGAGTTGTCCTGGAAAGAAAATGAGCAGACTATGCGCAGACTATGCGCATAGCCTTCTGCCTCGGCTGCTTCACGCAGTGATGCATATTTAGTATTATTTCGATGCATATTTTTCCTCTTTTCAGAGGAAAAATATCAGGTACAGGAGTTCATAATTCCTATTGCGCAATTAAACTGCACTTTATGAGAACACTATTCTTTTTAAAAATCATTTTTAGCATGTCATCAGTTCCGTCGCCATCTCGTCCAGAAAATCGCCGATCAAATTGTCCCATATAAGATCGAGACGATTCCGACGAACAATTTCCTCGATATCGTGAACTGAAAGCGTCGCCGATGCTAAATCGTAATAAAAATCGTTTTTAAAAATTTCACCTGCATCCGAAAGTTCAGTATTTAACGTACGGAAATCATGAATCCCGAATCCCGAATTAATCCCGAATTAATCCAGAATTAATCCCGAATTGATCCAGAATTAATCCAGAATTAATCCAGAATTAATCCAGAATTAATCCCGAATTAATCCCGAATTAATCCAGAATTAATCCCGAATTAATCCAGAATTAATCCCGAATTAATCCAGAATTAATCCCGAATTGATCCAGAATTGATCCAGAATTAATCCAGAATTAATCCAGAATTGATCCAGAATTGATCCAGAATTGATCCAGAATTGATCCAGAATTGATCCAGAATTGATCCAGAATTGATCCAGAATTGATCCAGAATTGATCCAGAATTGATCCAGAATTAATCCAGAATTAATCCAGAATTAATCCAGAATTAATCCAGAATTAATCCAGAATTAATCCAGAATATTCACACAAAGGCCCATCGGAAAAAAAAGCTGGTAGAGCCGCCTTCGACGATTCCGTCATTATATTCGGATCATATCTTCGCATTTCGCGCAGTAAACGAAGACAAGGGTTTCCTTATCTCGTTGAGCAACGCGCCAGCAAATATATTTATATTTATACAGAGTGGCCCAGAAAAAAACCAGGCCGAAAATGTATTTTTTTGCAAGGCTTATATATAATAAGTGGTAATGAATATATTTAATATAAATATATTTGAGCCCTTCACAACTTGGATACCAAAAAACAATGGCTCCAGCAGGAGCACGTGGGCCCATCTCCAGGTGTTACACCAACTTTTCCCAGATCTGACTTCCCGTGTCACGGTGTAACGGGCACCCGATCAAAATCCTCCAGATTTTCTTTTTCACATATTAAGGAATTCAGCTTCGTCAATTCCAAATCCCAGAGCCGTCCCAGAATCGAAGCATTGAACAATTTGTATACAATTGATATACCGTGTTCATGGTATACCACGAGAAACTTGTGGTAACGTCATCGATCGCCAACCGTTTGGAAACATGTGGAACGGAACGGACAGCCCTTGGGATACGTGATGAATACGTGATGAATACGTGATGCAAGCCATATCAACCCCAACCCCAATTTCGACCTGGTTTTTCTGGGCCACCCTGTATATATTTATTATATTATATTTAGAGTCAGAGATCATTTCTCGGGGAACTTCGTGGTTTGGAGAAGGGCACATTTTGATCAATCATTAATAATATACTTTTTATATCATATCTTGAATCGAACCCACTCCTGTGATGTGCTTGTGCACGGAAACGCCCACAACTTTATAAGAATAAAATAAGTTTAAATAAAATTTTTAAAATATAAAATGTGAAATTGTGCTATAACAGCGATAAGTGAGGTGGCTTGTAAAATATCCTCCAACCTTTAATGAACCTTTAAATGCATCCTTCAAGTCATCGCCGCGTCTCCACTTGCCCTTTGGGAAACGAATTCAATCGATGACATTCTTCGTTTCAGTGTTCTGCGCCGCGGTCTGCCTGACGGGTGCTCAGCAGCAGTTCACGTATGAGAACAATGGTACGTACATTTACACTTAGATAATATTCGTAAGTTGCACTAGGGTGTAAGAAATATGAACATTTGTGGTCTCGAACGCAACTAAAAAAAATTATGGAGGATTAACGGAGGATTAGCTCATAACCCGTAAACATGGTTTGCTGCGAATATCTTCATGAAAGAACTCGTTATTCCGCTCCAACTCGATTTCACTTTTGATTGAGAATGCCGGAAGATTACTGGAGTATCCTGCCCGCATAGGCAGGATGAGGGCCGGAGCTAGCGGAATCACATCCGTGTGACGTCATCGATGATGTCACACGGATGTGATTCCACGGGCTTTTGGGGGTTAGACGAGAAAGGAAGTCGAAGCAGCGACCCAGATAACGCAAGAGCGTTGGAGAAATGCTATTACGACGCTCACTTTTAACGCTGTCCCAGCATTGAAGCTAACTTCAGCACAGCGTTAAAATTTCCATTATGGGAGCGCTCAAAGCAACGTCAAATGCGAGTGTTAGATGAACGTTTATTTATTTCCTCCTACGTTTATTTAAACATTGAATTAAACGCGTCCATCTCCAACTGTTCGGCTCCCCTTTTCGGCTTCGAACATTTTTCACTTCCTTCACAGGATTAGGATTAGATTAGGATTAGAACCGTTTCTCATTTATTCTCTTATGCATCTGGTTCTCGATCCGCTCCGGATTAATACCAGAATTAATACGACGAGTGAGACACAGTCCCTGCAGTCAGATATCTCCTCTTCCAAGGGGATTCCGGTTGGTCCAACATTTCTTCATACCTTCGAGGAAGGTGCCCTCGGATGGACAAGACGTGAGATTCGTGGTGGAGATATACCAAGCAGCACATAACCTTGAAACAACATCGATTCAATGTCGATTCCACATCCGGACGTTGACCTACCGTCGAATCAATATTATTTGCTACATGGAATACGCTGCACCGCTTGTTTCCCAGATCCAGTCTCGGCTGCTGTGCACGAATGGGAATGGATCTTCACCAGACCACAACGTCCATGTCACTGGGGTCTGAGGGGGGAGGCGGCGGAGAGCCCATTGCGCATGTCACACGCCCCCCGCCCGCTCCTCGCCTCCACGTGGCTTGAGGCTCTTTAAAGGGACCGTGGAATCCCAGGATTATTGGACGGCTCGTTTGAATCGCCGTCGGTATGAGGTCAATATTGTAAAGCCCCTCGAGGATTTTCCATCGTTGACGGCAAGGTATGTGGACAGAGGTGATGTGCTTGGACATCGTAGGAAGATAAAAAAAAAAAAGATGGGAAATAATGCACTTACTTAGGCAGGTATTAAAAATTAGGAGCCTCTTTACTGATGGAACAATGATTTCGTTTAACATTTTGTATCTTAGACAAACTAGGGGCTTGAGATATGTCCAGGTGAGTGCACTTTCCAAAACCTCTACCGCTTCTCGAAACATTTTTTTGCATGCTATGTTAAAAACGATTGCTTGTAATACCTTTTATTCAACGTTACCGAGTCATGGCTTTAAGTACTTTCAAAAAGATATTTTTCCGCAATGCCAAGCTTCATTTCACGGAAGGACACTGGAACACTGAAGCGCTCAAATAACACATTTCGAGCGTTGCACAAACAATGCCGTGTCGGCTGGGGAGATGCCTGCTATCGCACGGGTGTCCAAGGACGAAGCGCGAAACGAGTGAAAGGCAGCAGCAAGAAGGGTGCTTTTAGGGTGCCAGGGTGCCAGAAGGGTGCCAGGCCAGGCCAGTTGTCCGGAAAGCCTAAATCCCTTTCAGGCGACGCCTTTCATCCTGAATCGGTATTGGTTCCGTTCTGGACTTTTTTTATTTATTTATTAGGCTTCGATTCTAATGCAGCGAATCCAGCATTGGCAGTTTAATTCCAATTTCAACCGAGTCTAAGTCGAATCTTTGATGAGATGGGGACCGGAACGGTTCTGAAGGCCACGTGACTACGGAACGGTTCTGAAGGTCACATGGCTACGGAACGGTTCTGAAGGCCACATGGCTACGGAACGGTTCTGAAGGCCACATGGCTATCACTTGCGCTGGAGGATTCCCGTCTGATGCCTCAGGTCGAGGCGCAACGTGGGAAGAGCGTGGAATTTCTTCTCTCCTTGGCGCATGGAGCGCCGAGGGAATTCGACAAGAGCCAGAAAATGCGATCCGTAGCAGCCATGCGTTTAAAGCCATTAGAAACGAACTGGCCGCTTCGGAGTTCAAAGGATTTCGTCCGAGTCCACAGATGAAGCGACGCAAACAGAAGCCAATAAAAGAGATGAATGGAGAATACAGATCGAATCCGATCGCTCTTCGGTGAATCCATCCGAAGTATCGCAACGTATGCAAAAGATGAAAGTCGTCAAGGACTGGTTGGAAAGACGAAAGCATTGTCGTCCCAAGAACGACGACCGAAATCGAGCTCTTGTGTCGGCCAATCAAGCAACAGACAGACGCTGATCGCCGTCGACTTCATCTTGGCCTGCACGAAGATCTTCGCTGTTCGAGAGAATAAGAGGAGAAAGGGAGACCGAGAAGGAATTTCATTCATTGGCGAAGTCCACGTCGTACCGTATGCATGCGAATGAGTCAGATAGCAGTGAAGCTGTCTGATGTTTGGATAGCGCTTGAGAGAAAACGTAAAAGACAGCTCCAGGATCCTTAACCGAGTTACGTGATACCGTTTGGCCCGTTCTCAACGGTCTGAACGCAGATCGTGCTTCCCTTTCCCCCGTTTCTTTCGACATCGCGAACCGCCCGCATGCAAAAAGCCTCAAAAGGTGTCCCAAGGGTGTCCCAAGGGTGTCCCAAAGGGTGTCCCAAGGGTGTCCCAAGGGTGTCCCAAGGGTGTCCCAAGGGGTGTCCCAAGGGTGTCCCAAGGGTGTCCCAAGGGTGTCCCAAGGGTGTCCCAAGGGTGTCCCAAAGTGGATGTTCAATGAGGCACTTTGGGTGCCCCTTCCTTAAGGCGTAGATGGAGGATGGGGGCCCCGCAGTCTTACGTTCCCATCCGGGCGGCTGACGCGGGAAGGTGCGAGGAAATCTTTTGGATTTGGATTTTGACTGGATTTTTCTTTCGGGATTGCGCCGCGAAGGGCGATGCTCCCTGAAGCGAATCATTTTGAGGCAAGGTGTCGGATAAATCAACGGGACACATCTTTGGAAGCTGGGAAATAAATGAACGGAATTCCCTGCGCAGAGCGAAGCACACGCTCGAATATTCGTGCCGGATTGAAAGACGGCAACGGGAAATGAGACGTGCGTGTTCACACCATTCAGCGTATTCGATTCGCTTCCTTAACCTTCAAGAGTCAAATCCGACGTGAATATTTTCCAGTTTCAAAACATTCTAGAGAATTCTTAGTTTCCAAGTTATTTCATTGTTTATGATCCACAAAAACACAATCGAATTTTAAAAAAAGAAGAAAAAAGATCTGTACACTTTCAAAAGTTCAGGGCAAATAAATTGGACCCGACGGGCCTTTAGCGATATCGACCGCAAAGGGCTAGGACACACCAGCTTCCTTGTCCCCTAGGACAGCGGTTCCCAGACTTCTTTCAATCGCGACCCACTTGCTAACGAACAGAACATTTCGTGACCCACCGGAATCCAGAACGAGATATTTTCCAGGAAATTATGACGTGAAGAAAACTCATCGACCTAGTCTGCAGGGCATGTTCTATCCTGATCGGATGCGGATGCTGTGGTTTTTTTTTATGCGGGGAAAACGTACGCGACTCACCTTGAAGCCTTTCGCGACCCACAGTTTGGGACGCGCTGCCATATGAGACCCTGAATCCAACTGTTTCAACTGGACGCGATCTTAGAGAAGGCAGAGTGGAGGGAGAAATGCTGGTGGAGAAGGAGGTGGATGCGACGGGTTGAAGGAGGATGCATGAGGTTTGTGTCGTCCAGGAAAAGCGACATCTGTGTGACTTCATGAAAGCCTCTGATCTTTGCCCGATGGTATAGACGGCCTTCTCCGCGCCCGAGCCGCGATATTCCGCACTGTCTCCGGAAATATTTCGCACGATGTCGATGCTCTCTCGCCTTCTCGAGAGGGAAAAAACCGTTTGCAATGTCTATGAGGAAATGACGCGCGTTAATTGGGTAAAAGCAGAGCCGGGTCCCGCATAGCAGCGCACTGGGGCCCTATTCCATTAACGACGCGTGTGTGCTGTTATGCATCCGCGAATGTCCTGCAGTTCAGTGAGGATGCTCGCCGACGATGCGGAGGCATATCGCCCAATAACCAACTTTGATGACCTCATTACCCTCCAAGGCGTAAAATGTGGGAAACTGGACCCATGAATGGGGCCTCGTCTTGAATCTCTTCGGGGATTCAATCACTGTCAAAGCGGTCGACTGCATGAAGGATCACGGTGTCCTTGTTTCGTTCGATCTTCGATTCATTAGATGCAGTTGCGGCCAAAGATCAAAGGCCAAAGGAACTGAGGGACGATTGAGGGACTTTTCAGTTATCAAATCGCGGATTTTCGACCAAATTATTTTTGCTTGCATGAAGGAATAACCGAATAATTCATTCTGCGTTCCAAGGGCGACTGGACTTATTCTCTGGTTCTCTGACACCTCTGATCGATTCTCGTTTCACGAAATTGCTGCTGCGTTACTTGACGTTTTTCGAGTCCAGAGTTGCACCGCAGCAAACTATATGATCATAAAAAGTTTTCCTTCCACCACACATTCGTCGTATTCAACTACGCTATACGCGGCATTGACTCTTGCAGGCGCCGAGAATTGGCCGTTGGAGTTCCCGACCTGCGGAGGAGACCGTCAGTCCCCGATCGACGTGAACCGCGTCACCCCCGCCGACTTGGGACCCTTCCAGTTCCATAACTATCACCTACCCGCTGATATCACCGTCACCAATATGGGACATACTGGTGAGATAACTAATAAATATTCTGCTGCGTAACTGATTCAATATTCCATATTTCGAATTCGCACGTCCATTTCTTAGAGCACCTTCCCTTTCTAAGGCTTTCCCTCTTTCACGGGTGAAATTCAAGGATAGATTCAAGGACCTCTCTTGAAGTTAATTTTTAACTCGTTAAGGACATGAAATATGTCCAACATAGTTTGTTGCCAGAACTTAACTGGAAGGGTTTTCAGCTCGCAGTTATTTTTTAAGTTTGACTTGGGCGAAAAATTACGACCTGGACCTTGCTAGAACCCCTTCAGAATAATCCTGAACTTTTCCGTCACGACCTGTTGTGGGTTCCACGAACTCCTCCCCCGTATCTGACGTTTTCAAAACGCGAAATTCCAGCATCCGAGTGCGACTTTTGGTCACTTTCAGACGGTCACCAAGGGCATTTAAAGTTGGTTTCAAATAAACACCCGGAGAAGAAAACGGTGTCTTGCGAAAGTTCAACCTTCGACGGAGCTGAAAATCCCTCTCGACGGTTTTCCATATTTTCCAACACTTTCAAGAACTGCTGAAATTGTCCCCCTCCTACAAATTTCCCTTCGATCCAGCGAAGTTAAAGTTTTCAGGAAGAAGCAAACGTGAAGGAGAGACGAAGGGCAGATCAGGCGTCCTCGTTGTATCACTCGACTTTAGCAGGAAATGGAGGAGAGAGAAATTTCGAAATTGCAGGAATTTCACATGAGTCCTGAATACCCTTTCTCCGACGAAAGTGAAGAAGAAAAATATAGTGACGTTTTAGCATGGCACGAAGCGAGCTAGAAATATGCAAATTCAGACCAGTCGAACATTAACTGAGTTAAGTCAACTTAGTCGGAACTTCCTATCGTCTAAATTCGGAAAAACCTACGCCTGGTTACCCTCTGAAATTGAACTCTAATGCGCCATAATATATATCTAACCGTAGTCCATACGTCCCCATAGTACGAAGAAAGTTATGCATATAGTTATGCCTGTTCCATAAGGACAGGCGAGAAGAACTTATTGCATTGATACATCGATCGGGCATGTGGCTGGAACGGAGCCTTGAATCCAACCGCATCTGATTACAAGACATGATGCTTGATATCCACGAGATATTTAAACCTTTCGAGACAGTGCATAATTAAAGCTCTAAATCCTACAGCCCAGGCGACCCTGAACATGGGAACCCCACCGACACTGACCGGCGGCGGGTTACGGGCGAAGTACGTGCTCGACCAGCTCCACTTCCACAGCGGCTCCGAGCACACCTACGAGGGCACAAGGTCGGTCCGCTTCTGTCCTCCATCCCTTCACTATGACTACTGCTTAGGGGGAAATCGTGGTTTCGACATCCGATCTAGCTACAGGGAACAGGGGATGGGGATGAACAAAGTTCTTCCAATGTGGCTGTCTCCTGACACGGAAAGTGCCAGATTCGCAAAAGGTTCGTGGAGAAGACACCGGCGTTGATTAGTTCAACAGGAGACGAGTTGTAGCAGCAATTTCCGTCATGTCCTTGCTGGAAGAAACCAGCGTCAAAGACGGGGAGCACCGCCAAAAACGAATACGAAGCTGAGCCATTATCAAGTTATGAATAATGCCAAAAGACGCTGATCTCTAGATGGATCCAGAAATGTGAGAAATCCAAGCTGAAACAGGTTTTGAATCCGATCTCAATCCAACGAGACCTTTAAATACCGCGACAGCAAAACCCGTTCCCTGTCGAAATCGGACTACCTTTATATCCGTTCTTGGTGCCGCCACAGTCATGTATTCGTACGACTTTCCAGGTACCCGATGGAGATGCACATGGTTCACCACAATATCAAGTTTAGGAATTTTACGGAGGCTGTCGCCTCGGGGGAAGAGGATGCTGTCGCCGTCCTCGCCTTCTTCTTCGAGGTAGTCCTTGCACTGGAGAAACTATCAAGTATCGAATCAATTTATTTAAATATTATTGAAAATACATTCCGAACGAAACATGTGGGGCACCCTTTCTTGCATGAGGTTTTTCAATGCATCATAGGCAGTCAATGAAATACCTTCACTCTTCAAATCGTTGCTAAAATAAAGCAAAGCAAAGGCAATTAAGGACTAAACCCAAGAAAATCAAGCAATGAATCAGCTATATTCTTATCTTGTCATTTCGTTTGGCTGGGATCAGCATTTAAGGTTCCTCATGCACTTCGAACAGGTGACACACCACCCGAACTTGGCTTGGGATAATCTGGTGAGAGCGCTGGCCCACGTGAAGGAGCCGGAAACATCGCAACAGGTGTTCCCACCCACCCCGCTGTGCTTGTGGCTGCCCCAAGACCTGAGCCGCTTCTACCGGTACTACGGCTCGCTCACGACGCCGACCTGCGATCAGGTGGTCGTCTGGACGCTCTTCTCCAACGATATCCCCATCAGCCATCACCAGGTCTCGTACTCTCTTCCGTTTTTCGCGCCTAGGTGAGATGAGCAGAGACTCGATCTGATTGGTCCGTATGGGTAGACGCGATGAGCGACCGAGCAGATCGCCTCACTGCCCAGGTGGCTCCCGCTTCCCTTTAAATAAACCTCCTGTGTGTGTGTGTGTGTGTGTGTGTGTGTGTGTGTGTGTAAAACTGCAGTATTGTGTTCTCAAGACAAGCTATCAACTTGATACGAAACAAAAAGGACTGAAATTTTGAGGCTTTGCACATTTTGATTCATCCATTTTGCATTCCTTAATGGCCGCGAAGTGTCGTCACTGAAATACTCAGTAATAAGCAGGGTTGCGGGATATGGGTTTTTAAAGAAATCGATACCATCGACCATAATTCGATCGATTTCGCGACATCGCTACTTCTTTCAATTCGAATCGGATCCTCTACAAATAAAACCTCGGGGTGCATATCAGGATCACGTGTTGCTATGGAGTCCACATGGATCGATATGAACATACGAGTTTTTTGCCCGTGACAATGTCATGACCTCAAAAAAGTTTCATATCGAATGTTTACCTTTATTTTCTGTGAAAAAGGCTATTGGACAAGCGGTCTCTTAGGGCCATGGTGTCCAATACGTTCGCCGCCCGTCACGTGAGGCGAATCGACCACAGACATGTGGCGAATTGATGCTCTTCATCAAACCTGCTTTCTAAAGGTTCCACATTTTTAAAAATTAATATTGCATATATTTTGTATCATGTCGCGAATGTGGCGATCTGTCCACCACAAGTTTGGCGAGCATCGAAATTCTATCGGACACCAATGTCTTAGGGGGAATAGGGGATATGCTAGCTGGACATGGTGATTTTTACCTTACCCATTTCTAGCCTCCCTGTTTTTGCAAACCTCACATTCGCCGCTGGGAGGAGTACCTTAGGGTTATATCTGAATCTCTTTCCTCCATAGGCCAAATGTTTCAATGATGACGCTGCAATGAAGCCCTCTTGGTTTAAGTTTTCCTTTCTCAAGAAACCTTTCAAGTCCTTTGTCAATCACGCAGTTTTTCATTCTGCAATCAGTCCCGTATCCCTAACGGAGTAATCGTTAGTATCAGCGGTGGTGACTCATGAATAATGAATAAACAAAGTTCTTAAAATGAGGCTGAAAACGATATCGCAATATGCTGACATCTCGCCGATAGGAATAATTTCAGTAGATATTCATATTCGATCAAACTGATACCGACAGATAGCTACGATCGGCGCAGCCAAAGTCACGTCCTTATTCTTTCTCACGAATCAATTCGTCGTTCAACTGCAGTTGGAGCAATGGAGGCACCTGAAGACGCCGACGGGGAACAAGCAGACGAACACTTTCCGACCGGCGCAACTCCGGAACGGCCGCGAGATCCTCTTCAACCAGGGATGGTGGTCCTAAGCGCTTTCACGACGGATCGAAGATGGAGACGAGCGAGAGTTCCGGACGCTGCCATTTCCCTTCACATTTCCACATCAGTTTGAGGCCTGTCTGCCCAATGCAAGCGAACGCCCTCCCAGACTGCAAGATGCTCTTCGAGTTTCGACCGCGACGAATGAGGAAGACTGAAAAGTTTGCAGACTCGATTGCTTTTTGAAATTTTGCGGGAGTGCAGTGAGCCCCGGTTATTTCTGTTACTTCCAAGCTCTTCACCAATTTGTGGGATTCTTTCTTTAGAAAAAAAACGAGACTCCTTATATTCTCGTCCGGGAGTGTGTCTGTGAATCGGTGGTAAACACTCGGTTAGCATAAAAGGTTCCTCAACATTTACGAGAATGCTGTTACCTCAAACTTCACGTTTTTTTGCTAGACTGAAGCTATCTTGCACTTCCCATATCTGGCACTGAAGCCGAAGCATTTAATTTAATAAATAAAAATCCTTGAAATATTGTGAAATATAAGTGACTTTCATTGTCCATGAAGTTGTTGGCAAACACTTAATAGCGAACGAAAATATTCTCTACTGGGAAAAAACTAGTAGCCTTGAAATGATATGATACAGGGTGACTCAAAAGTCCTTGGACACCTTTAATCAAGTGCATCATTCTCTGATGAAGACCAATTTAATTTCTGATTTGACCAGTGCAAAGATCACAAAAAACTAAACCAACCATGTTTTTATGTTTCAAAAATAATACCATTCGAGGCAATAACCTGCTTCAGACATTTTGGAAAATCATTTACGGTTCTTCACAACTGATCAATCGACAATTCATTCCATTCCTTCGGCACATCAAGCTTCAAGCTATTGATACTCTTGTGTGGCTTGCAGCAGACCTTGGCCTGGAAGTAGGACCACACACTGTAATCCAATGGATTCAAATCAGGACTACTAGCAGGCCATTCTTCAGGGGAAATCAAGTCTGGAAAGTGAGTTCTGCAGAAGTTGATGGCGGATTTTGCTTTGTGAGCTGGTGCCGAGTCCTGCTGGAATGTCCAAGGCCGGGATTTGAAATGTTCCTGAGTCCAGGGGAGTAGCACCTTCTTCAACACACTCTTCCCATATCTGGCACTGAAGCCGAAGCATTTTTCGGCGATACAATGAGCTTGGATCTTGTCCAAGGCTGGGATTTGAATTGTTCCTGAGTCCAGAGGAGTAGCACCTTCTTCAACACACTCTTGATAGTAGCTGGCATTGATCTTGGCCTGAGGCTGCACAAAATGCAAGGGAGTTTTGCCAAAAGCACAAACATCACCCCACACCATCACACGACCTGGTTTTTGAACTCGATGGACATATCGCTGATGAGACTCGAAAGACAAAAGCTTTTTACCCCAGAGGCGATTGTTTTGGGGGTTGTAAGCTTGCTCTACAGTGAAAATTTTTTTGCCAGAGAAAAGAATCCTTTGGAGTGAGGACTGGTTAAACCGTTTGAGCAACTGTCGGGACCTTTGAACTTGTTTCTTCTTGTTGATCTCTGTGAGCAGCTGCACCTTTTGCTTTTTAAAAGGCTTCATGCAGAGCTTTCCCCTGATGTATCTTCACAAGATCTCTTTGTTCACTTTCAAGGTTTGCACAAGCTTTCTTCCAGAATGCTCTGGATTTTGGTGCAGCATTTGCCTGACTCGTTTCTGGAGCTTCTTATCCTGGAACACAGAAGGACATCCACTTCTTTCGCTAACTGCTTCTGATCCAAGCTCATTGTATCGCCGAATAATGCTGTAGATTGTAGATCGAGGGGTTTTTTGTGAGCTTTGAGATCCTGCTTGTTGGAAGAGCACTCTGATTTTGAAAAATCACTGCTTCTCTTTGATGTTTGGGAACCATTTCAAGAGCTTTCGACCTGAAACTTGGAAGGCAAATAGATCTGTAGTAGATGTTGCTTCACTCAAAAAAATCACCTGGCTATCACTTGTCCAACGGTTTTTTCAATAGGTGTCCAAGGACTTTTGAGTCACCCTGTAGAATATATATTTAAAAATTCACAACTTCAGATCCTAGATATTCCGACGAAAACAGAGAAAACTATTAAGTTCCATGGAATAGAGCGGAACAAGGGTTTTCCCAAGTCCAGAGACGTTCCGGAATTAAAAAGTTACAGAGGAAAACCTAAATGCTTAGTTTGACAGGCTCGGAGTGGTTTCAACCTTGATGCGAATTCCTCCCGGAGAATTATCTTTTTTTCTCTCTCTTTTCCCGTTCGAATGGGTCTTGCTTCCTCGTCTTCGATGGGACACGGTACCTCGAAAGGCAGCGATTATTACAACGGTTACTAGGTTTAAGCATCATGGGACTTCCTATTGCGAAAGAAACAGATCTCGCCTCTGAAGGGTCTTTTGCCCAACCCGATGATTCTGGAGGCCACAGTGCAATAAGGATTGAAATCAGACCTTCATTTCTGAATGAATACGTGCTGGTACGTGCCCCTCTTCAACTTTCGCCTGCTTTCAACATATTTTTTGCAAGTACTCCCATTCGGCAACACATAAAATAAGTGTTCCACTATTAACGCTTTCACCGAGGACCCCCCTTGCCTCCTTTTGTGTCTCCCTTTCCGAAGACCGTGAGTTGTTTCCTCAGGTACGTTATGGAATATTCCTTTGAACCTCACTTTCCCCGTCGCGGAGTCCTCTCCCTTCGTTTTCCAGTTGCGTTTCCTGTTTCTCCTCATTATTCTTTCCCTCTCGTTTGCTTCCTTACTTAGTACTTAATCCTTCTTGCTCATGGCGCAACTCCATTCGAGGATCATATGTCTCTCCCTCTACCCGAGAAGGAATCTAAACCAAAACTTTCAAAGTGATATACTTCTTTGCAGCTTCTGCAGCACGGCAGAGGTTTGAATTCCTCCCTGCACTTCGCCTGGCACACAAACTTTGATATTTCTTTTTACTGGAACAACCCATGAACTCATACGCTTTGGTTTCCGCTCTCGTTTCTCAGGTGAGCATGGGGATTGGTGGTCGACTTTTCCTGAAATGCACGTTCTTCTGACATCCGCGACGTCTCCAAGTCAATTCCCTTTCTGCGAAGAGCAGTATACAAGGCATGTTTTGCATCCTTTGTGTTTTTCTTTCATCTCCACGAGAATCTGTCAAATATTGGCATATTACTTCCTCTAACCCTGTCCACTCAGGTCTTTCTCGGAATATTTTGCGATGATGTCCTCTGGGAAGAGTCCCTTCCTTCTTGGCACACTACTTTTTGGCACACTACGCGGACCTCCACAGCTTAAAGTGCCAAAAGAACATGCCTGGTAAATTTCACAATTTTCCATCGAGTCCTATATATTAAATCACGGAGTGTTAGATAGATTCAGCTTTGGCTCACTGCTTCAGTGGACTTCACATCTCTTCAGTTTGAGACATTCCATCAAAACCAAGTATTTCAAAATAAATGTCGACGAGACACAATCTTTCGAGACCCTTGAACGAGCAAAAACAGCCACAAATTTTAACTTTGGAATTTAAGCAAGGAACCGGAAGAAATTTGAATTTGTTTTCGCTCATCAACATTCTGATTAAATATTTCACGGTAATACTTTTTGGATTTTTATATTTTTGGCAATCCATATCATCGATACCAGCGGTATGGTACATGTGAAAATATTTTTAGTGTGAAACTGATCTAGTTTTTGCATGACCGTCTGTGGGAATGAGGTTCAAAATCCGAAGAAACCGGTTCTCGTTGGCGCCCTTTCCGAAATCAGACCACTTCATTAAAAATGAAGGCGATCTGGTGTATTTCATTCTTACGGACTTTGTGATGGTGAATCTATTGACTCTTTGATTCCCATTCATTGCGTCTGTCTCGTCCTTTCTGAAGGGCTCGGGTGTTGCTCGGCGATTTTTTGCTATGCCTTTACGGGCCTCTGCAGGTGTGAAATGAGATCAGAAATCTTGAAATGTCTCAGGTAAGGTGTGGCCCTCAGAAATGGGGTCCACAATAATGTTTCCAAGATTTGGAGTCATTCTCATGATTTCGTCGAGTCTGCAAGTTTTCAAATAAATTTCCTTCAAGAACAACACAAGGAGGGTTGTTGAGGCGATCAGAGTCGGGTATGGCGAACCCACAAATCAGAACCAGGTTTTTCTTACACAACTCAGAAAGAAAATTTAACCGTTCTGGCTGAGAAAGGCCCGGGAGCCACGCAGTTCTTCAGTTTTTCCTCTGGTGTTTTTGTCAAAATCTTAAAAATGTGAACGGAAATCAATATGTCCCGGCTGGGGAACGAGAAGCAATACTAGAGAAAGTTTTGCTTCACTTTGGTAGTACAACATGATGGTAACGGCTCTACACACGTGACGATTGACCTTTCCCGCCTCGACCTTTAGGGTTGCTCTGATGAAAGGGTTCTGATTTATGTATACATGAGAGGCGGCAAGAGACGCTGGAGCCTTGGCCCTTGTGGGTTCATCTCAAAGCAAGCTCGGAATTCATCTCATTTCTTCCGACTGTTCGAAATTCTGGATGGTTTCAGTCGGTCTCGGTAGAAGGCCTGCCATCATGTAAAATAAGGACAGAAGGCCTGCCACCATGTAAAATAAGGACAGAAGGCCTGCCATCATGCTAAATAGAATGCAAAACTGGGACTCGACCTTTACCTGACCATGCAGAAGACATGCAGAGACGGTTCGATGCGATTTCGCCCATATCGCTTCTAGGTCAACGTTTAAATCACAGTTAGAGGTTCTCCATCGAAATTCGAGGGTGACATTCCACTGGGGCGAAAGTGGGAGCAAACTCTAGGAAAAGGAACGACCCAGAAATATATTATTCCCAGATCATTTGATACGACTAAGACCTCAGGAAACACGGGGAAGGCGTCAGTTCAAAATGAATCATTTGTATTGTTTTCATTTTATTATTTACCACTTTCAATTCAATTAATTCATTCATTTTTGAGGATAGTCCTGCATGTCTCTGCATGTCTCATATTTCTCTGAACCTAAGTCCTTCTTTG